CTCTACACAAATTGGGAGCTAATGACGACAAGATGTTCAAGGGTGTATTTTTTTCATTACTTTGTTTAATTAATGAATGAAAATCATAATTTTTTTTATATAATATGCATTCATTTATCATGGCAGATGTCATTGGTAGAGTTGTTTCCATATTAAAAAATCAAGAGTGTATGGTTAATGGACACCGAGAAAGGCTTTTGGAGCTAAGACTTGAAGAATGAAGGAAACAAATGAGAAGGTCAATGTGCAATAACAAATAGTACTTGAACATATTGATAGCCTTTAATTTATATTATTCTAACTTGCTTCTATAAATCCTTAATACTTCTATGGCATCCCACTTATACTATAAATCACACCTATCATATACTTCAATTCAATGTTAATTTCTGATCTCATTTTTACATTTTTTTCTTTCTTACTATAATTTTTGATCTTATAAAATTTTTAAAAGAGTTAGCAAACAATTCTATTAATAATTTTATATAGTTCACATACTTTTAAACGCAGATATCAATATCACTACTTAGTGCTTTCTCATTTGGAAAAAAATCATAGAAGGAGAAAATTTCAAATCAGGTACATTCTTCTTGGTCACGAAAAAAAAGCTTCTTTTTTATTCCTCCCTCCTTAAAAAGATGACACAATTTAATTTTTTTGTCAAATTATGACACCGTTTGACCGTGAATACTGAAAAAAATATATTCGGTGATAATGTAATGTTAATAAAATTGTTTTTATTTTAAAATATAGTTTTAAAATATAATTTTGAAATATCACATTTTGATCTCAGTACTGTAATTACTTTTATAAATGAAGAATACGTCTATGGAATATATAACTAACAGCTATCATATAAGGGGATGTTACCTTTGATACCTATTGTCTGGACTCATTTTTGCCCTAGCCTTTGTTGTCATTATAAATTGCCCTAACCTTTTCTGTAATCTTCCTCTAAAATGTATTTGATTTCAATATTGCATGGTACTTTTGATACCCATTGTCTAAAATGGTACTTTTCATACATGCATTGCACCCCTCACGGTCAATAGTATTTGGAAAATGCTTCTCAAATCAGTCAAATGTATTAACATGCCTTTTTTGTCCTCTCTCTCTTAAATGTATATGGTTTTATATTCCCATTTGATTCCCCTGATTTTTTTTACATTCATTATTCTACAAAAAGGCTGTCAATATAATGTTCTTATTTAACAATCCATTTTGGTTAGCGGGTCAAATATTTGACTAAATATGTTTTAAAATATTCAATTGATTTAAATTCAAATATTCAGTTTTCGAAAATTAAAATTATATTTTTCAAATCTCTTATTTATTAAATGATAGATTTAACTTATCACTTAAACACCTGTAAATTTAAAAAACATTTTGAATTTCTTTTAACATCTACTATTCTAAGTCATATTTTTAAATGTTTGTGTCCCTAAAATATTTAAAATAATTTGACTCTTTGAACAAATTGTGTCACTCTTTGACCAAAAATCCTTGAAAATTTATATTTTGTCAAATTTAAAAAAATTGAATTTATTTTGCTAAAAAGTTTAAAATAATCAAATTTTGGCAATATTTAAAAATCATAAACTATTTTTAATTCATGATCATCGTGTACCATAGTTTTACCAGAATGTCAAATTATGACAATCTTTTAGTAAAAAAGAATAATAAGTTTAAGGAAAATGGTATTTGTACCCCACCATTAGGTCTGACATTTAAAGGACAACTTTTTTTGTTCTAACTATCTTAAATGTATTTGGTTGTATTACTTCATAATACATTTCATCCCACAAAATGATTCACAAAAAATGAACTCACATTTCACAAAAAAAGTATTTAATGCCTGTTTCAATCGATAAAGTTATTTGCAAAACATCCAATCTATGTAAATGTGAAGTAATAGCTTTGCTTCCCCAATCACTTCCTGCCTGTTTTTTGTTCATACGGAGTATTATTTATTGTATTTGGTTTTATATTCTCATTTGATTCCCCTGATTTTTTTAACTTTCATGACCCTACAACTATCATACCCACAATATAATTCACAAGATAAGAGCACACATTCCACTCCATTTTTGTTCTAACTATCTTAAATGTATTTGGTTGTATTACTTCATAATACATTTAACCCCACAAAATAATTCACAAACAATGAACTCAAATTTCACAAAAAAATGTAAATGAAATGCATTAAAAAATATGTGAAAGTTAGTAAACTTTTTTTTCAAATTAAATAAAAATGATATTAGATATTAATACAAAAATAATATTTTGTACTTCTTCCTTCCCATATCTTTCTTTATGTTGTGCAAATCAAAGAGAAATTCCAAGTTTTCAATCTATTTTATTTAAATTTTACTATAGAAATAGGAAGTAAAACTCCAAGTTTTCAATGGATAAAGTTATTTGCAAAACATCCCATCTATGTAAATATTAAGTAATAGCTTTGCTTCTCCATTTAGTCACTGCCTGTTTTTTGTTAATAGTATTTATTTTTTGTTATTATTATTTACTGTATATTTCAATATGTAGACATAATTTAAATATAGATCAATTACCTTATATAAGCAGGTTGACACACAGGCTACCTGCAGACAAAAATGATTGTATAAGCATATGCTTGCTACGGGAAATTAAGGAGGATTGCAAGCATACATTACTCAATGATTACAAATTCATGGATGTTAAAGTGTGATCAGTCCCCTGAAGTGTATTGCACTTAAAGCATTTCCTGGAGAGGTATGTCGATTTTATTTTAAAATTGCATACTTTTATGAAAGCTAGATTCTCTGATCATAGTAAATACCATTAAATGAAATTGCCAATTTTATTTCTTCACCTCTGCCTAATTCATCAATAAATTATGGTCTATATTGCATATTAAGAAGTTGCATGTTCTTTTGCAGGTAATACATTTCTTACAGAAAGTTGTGTATATGAAGAAAATTACCAAAAGTGGAATTCTGAACAACAAAAGGTTCCTAGAGAGATGTGATTCCAATAGAGGTGAGTCAATATTTTAATTTTTCTTAAAATTCTCATTCTCCATCTATTAATCGTGCAGACAATATATCTGAGAGAAGACATATACATATAGAGCATAACCTTATATATAGTTTTGGAGATCAAGTATTAAATGAACCAAATTGTATGCACCTGCACATAATGAATGGAATGCTTAATTAAATACTCAAAATTAGAAAAGACATATATGGTATCATTGATGATTTAGTTTGAAATAGTACCAGAGGATATGAATTAGTATTAAAACACAATCTCAGTGGCGATTTAAATGAATTTAGGAGACATATATTGGATATTTGTAGTGCAAAGTAATAAATATAAAGAGAATTTAATTTTGATGCCATGAAGCTGCTAAAAATGGTGTTTAAAATTGGTTGACATTCATTATGATTTAATGATAAGGACAAATTATATTCCATCATACTCAGTATATAAATTACCAACATATTTACATAGATCTAATCTGTTAGGCAGTCATTCAAAAATAAAAGATCTAGGTGCAAACACCATTTAAATTCTTTCTAAAATTTGTACAATCACTATTCAAGATGATCGATAAATTTCGTATATTAAAACATTAATTTTCAAAAAAACACAGTAATTGAAAAACCAATCGAGCCCTCAGGATTATAGATATAATTCTTGCCCGTAATAAAAAAATCAAACCTTTATTAATAAATGTGGTTTTAAGAAAAATTATGTTACCCATAAAAGATCTGAGATTTTAATGGAATATAAATAAAAACAAACCCAAATTAATAAACAAATCTACATGATTGGTTTTCAAATGAAATAGATTAATGCCAGATTTTTTTATATGAAGCATGTATTAATATAAGTATATAACGTACTTGGATTAATATATCTTAACTTATTCATGGTCCGGGAGAACTCAAAATAATCTACCATGGCCGCACAGCATCAATCTCGACTATTCCGTCATCAAAACCTTATTTCGATTGATGAAGCATTAATATTGTGGATAGAATTACCAAATTAGATAGGAGTTCAGAGAGATCATTAGGTTAAAGTTGTGGGCTAGCTAAATGGGCCGAATATTATAGGGCTTAGTTTACTAAAACACATGGCCTACTTGGTTTAATAAGAAATAGAAATTTTGTCCTAACTAATATACGCTCTTTGTGATTTATTCACTTTCAATTTTTTTTATTTAAATAATAAATTTTGAATTCAAATTAAATAAAAATGATACTGCCTCCTTCTATCAGTGTTCTCCAGTTTTGACTTTTTTCGATCAACTGTTTTCAACCTTTGACCCATAATAAAATAAAATATATATTGTATTTTAATTACATAAAATGATATTTTGAAAATATTTGGCATAATAAATCTAATAAAAGACTTTTTGTATCGATATCTAATATCATTTTTATTTAATTTAAGCTCAAAATTTATAAATTTTGATCGAAAAAGTCAAAAGTAGTCAAATACTTAAGGACGGTGTGAGTATTAGATATTGACAAATAAAGATATACTTATACGATGTATTTGTAAATATTTACGTGTATTACTTTTTATCCTTTATTGTCTAAAGATAATATGGATTTAACATGTTAGAGTGATTAATTAAATAAATTTATTTCATTGTAGAAAATGAACCGTGGAGTGGTTCAAAAAAGGCCACCAGAGAAATACATTTGAATCCTTCAGATAACTTTTGCTTGCAACTACATTCAACAAATGAGTTGGATACGTTCCAGAAACTCCATCATAAGTGTAAAGGATATACGCGAATAATTAACGTATAACATACTTTTTTTTAAATAATATTTACTGATACAATGATTTTTTTTAAATTTTTAATAACTAATCATGTAGCCTTTCTTGAATCACCATCAACATCCCAAGCCGAAAAAGTTTAAAACAATCAAATTTTGGCAATATTTAAAAATCATAAACTATATTTAATTCATGATCATCGTGTACCATAGTTTTACTAGAATGTCAAAATGTGACAATCTTTTAGTAAAAAAGAATAATAAGTTTATTCATATGGAGAAGAATGCACTCCAAATAAAGAAATATCCCCATCAATGCCATTCTATGATGTAACAAATGGTATTTTGAAATATATTTTTCTTTGTTCATTTAAGTACTAATTCTAATATTTTTTATTAAAAGACATTTTCTTCCATAATACTTTTGTTTTTGTAGTGACATCATCAGTGCACCTAGCTCTTCCTTCAATATCTTTGGTGTAACTCATTATCCTCGGGTAGAATTTGCCAACGCTATCCTATCAGGAAAAAGTTGTGTCACGCAGGTTGGCTTATTATTAAAGAAACATGTCTTTAGTCATGGTCAACTTTACGTTGCAGTTTCTCGAGTAACCAGTCGAGGTGGTTTAAAGATTGTGATTTGCGATGAAGGTGGGAAGCCCTCGGACCATACTACAAATGCTGTATACAAAGAAGTTTTCCAAAATTTGCAATGTTAAATTTCTTTGTATAATATGCAATATTGTAAGCAAACTTAAATGCATGAAAAGTTACTAAAGGACATTCGCATCAATATTCATTAGTTTTAATATTCTTTTAATTCATCCGGAAATAAAAATATAAAAGTCCTATTTTGATATATTTTTAAAGATTTAGTCATATTTTAGTCTTTCTCCCATAATCATATTGAAACTTTTTTATGGAAATGTTAGTCTACAAATCTATATCTTTAAAAATTAACAACTAATTATAATTGCATTGATATAAAAAGTTTTAATACGGTTTCTTGCCGTGCATCGCACGGGTATGAATCTAGTTATGAATGATGGTAAAATGTTGGGTGGTTTAGGATTACGAGTACACAAAATGGGCCAGTCATCACTCATCACTCATTAGGTAGGAATAATGGGATCGTGACCGATTCATATGAATCACATCAGCTTCACCAGCCCACCAACCCAACCCATTTGAATATAAACTACTCCCTCCGCGTCCTAATTTATTTGCAACACTTCGAACGACGTGCAAGATATTATCTTTTTTAAATTCACTTTAATTTCAAATTGGTAAAGTAATAAAAAGTAAAAATTACACCATTTAAAAGTATATGAAAAGCTCTACAAAACAAGATGCGATAAGAATATTTTATTTTATCAAATGGTCAACCAAAACGAGTAAACAAACAAAAGTTATCGAGAGACCAGAATAGTAAATGTGACATTCTTTCTGGGATGAAGGAAGTATTTTTTGAGTAAATTTTTGAGATATTTTGCATCTACAAATAGTTAATTAATTTATGAAATTCTATTTGGTCACGAATAACTTTATTACTCTTTATAATGTACTCATAGTATATGTTCATACATACAATAACAATCCAATTGAATTTTATAAAAATAGCGTGAGTTATACACTCAGAACTTGCTCATACTCGAAAGTAGAAAGAAGTATAAATTGTTTAAAAATATATTTCGCTTGGAAAATTCTTCGGTCAACCTAAGGTTATGCTCATTTTATGGACCTTAGTGTATTTGTAGCATAAAATAATTGGGCCTTTGCAAAAATGAAAATATTCACAAGAAGGTCCATATTTTAGATGTGGACTTTGGACCATGTAAGCGTCACTCATTTTGCTTTTTTCCATCATACCCTATAGAGATGTACAGATATGTCGCTGGATTATAATGTTCATATTGAAACACAAAGAGTTACGCACCTACTTTAGCTTTAACTTGTGACTTCTCATTTGAGAGATGTACAGTAATGTCGCTAGATTATAATGTCCTTTTCATGAAACACCATTAGATAATTACTTTAATTTCGAGTAATATCAATTATAGTCATACTTTTATCACATATCCTCAATATAATACACAAACAATGGATTAAAAGTGACAATATTCATCAGAGACATTGTAATCCATCAACATGATTCTCTTAAATGGGAGGCCGCAAGTTCAAACCCCAACGAGGAACAATTCAATATTTATTCTCTAGAGTTTAAGGTAGCGTTTTCTTCGGCTGGTCTGATCTGAATGAATCTAATCTAAATTGATCTGATCTGATATGAATGGATTTGATCTAATCTGAATGAATCTGATCTGATCTGAATGAATATAACCTAATATGAATGGATTTAGTTCAAATTCAAATCATTATAGTAATAATAATTATTAATTATTAATTATTATAATTATTATAATAATAATAATTATTATTCACATAGTATTTTTTATTATTATAATTATAATTGTATTTATTTATTATTATTATTATTATTATTAATTTTATCCTTATTATTTTAATAAATATATTTAATATTATTATAATAAATTATTATTATTATTACGTGTTATCATTAATGATGATTATTACCATTATCAATACAATTATAATTAAAGTAATATATTATTTTAATTTCTATTATTATTATTATTAATTAACAATAATTTTTTTATTTTTATATTTAAAAATAAATATTATAATAATCTTTATTATCATTATTAATAATATTATTAGTTAATAATAATATTGATTAATATCATTTGAATCATTAGTATTAATTGCTATTACAATTATTATTATTAAGTACGATGATAAAAAATTAATAACATTAATTAATTGTCATTATTATTGTAATCATTAATATTATTATTTAATAATAACAATGATTATTATTGTTTTAATAATTACTATTATTGTTGTAATTTTTGATGTTATTACGGAGTATTTTTAATTATTTATTATTTGAACTCACCAAATTTAAATTTTGTTACTAGGTCCACATATTAGATATGCACTTTATGATTGCCAAATCACTCCTTCTAAAATAGACGTGCACCAATTTTATCTCTTTTTTTATATGATTTAGGAATTACAATATTTCTTTCTAATTTTCATAAATTCTGACTTTATAAATTTAAGACAAAGTCTAATTTTACATCTGTCTTATTGGTGTTTTAATCTTGATATCATTCTAATTCGAATCATTTGGAAAATTGGTAGTCACAACCCGCTCTAACCTCACTTTTTGGCTCGCTGTTCGTCTGCAAATATTTGGGATTCAAGGAAATAAAAAGTACAAAATACTCTTTATATAAGAAAGTTTACAAAAAATGTTTAAAGCAATGTTCATCTTTAATAAATCATTGCCCTCATAGTTCAATGACCTTGTAGTCCAATACGTTATTATGATTATTTCAAATGAGAGAAAATGTGTTTGATTCTTGGTAGGGGAAATAATTATACGAGTCTGAATAATTTGAGGATGTATAAGTAATATTATTTTGTATTAGAGTCCAAAAAAATAATTTGATACTTTCTTTGTATTTTACTCTTATTTTAGATGACATTTAGTTTTTTAATAAATTATACTCCGTACTACATAATATTTTGTAATATATATTTTTTATTACATTTTAAATACTCCATTCTCCCTCCGTCCATGAGTATTTGTCCACTTTTGATTTTTTTCGATCAAAATTGGTAAACTTTGACCTCAAATTAAATAAAAATGATACGGAGTATTAGATATTGATACAAAAATAGTTTTATTAGATTTATTATATCAAATATTTTCAAAATATTATTTTATCTAATTAATATACAATATATATATATTATTTAATTATAGGTCAAAAGTTAAAAATGATTGACCGAAAAAAGTCAAAACTAGACAAATACTTAGAGACGGAAGTAGTATTTATTTTTACAAAGGGGTAAATGTGGAATAAGCTCAATTTATAAAGGATGTTCACTTGTATTTTTTAAGGAAAAATTATCTCAAATAATTCCACCTTTTCGCGCTCTTTCAAAAATAATCTCACTTTTCACTGTCACCGGAAATAATCTCACCTTTTCGCATGTGTGCGAGTTTTGGGTCACCGTTAAAAAACTAACGGTCACTTAACGGAAATTTTGAAAAATGCCCGTTTTTCGAAAATAAATGAAAGGTGGGATTATTTTAGGTAAATTCTCCCTTTTTCGTTTTTTAATTTCTTTAAATGTATTTTTATTTTATTTTTTTGGAAAAATACCAAATTTAAGTGTTTTTAAAGTGAAACTAATTGTTTTTTTTCAATAACCAATAATATGGTAATAATTAGAAAATAAATTCTTCTACACAATAGAGCTAATTTATTAACTTCATAACTAACTATTCCCTCCGTTTGGAAAAAGTGTTCCTCTTTTGACTTTATGTAAAAATAAGGAAGTATTAAATTGTAGTTAACTTCCAATTTTGCCCTTGATGTGATAGGTAAAAGTAAGATGTGATGGATAAATTATTAGAGATAAAGTATGATATGATAGATAGGGTATGAAAAAGTAAGGGTAAAAGTGGTTTTTTAATAGAAAGTGGAAGTATTTTGTTGGAAGGGAAAAAATGAAAGAGGAAGTGTTTTTGATAACGGAGGGAGTACATTTTTTGTAAGTTGCATTTACTGTATTTCTCTTGAGCTGCACTTCAAATATATTTTTTGATACTACATTATTATTATTTCTTTAAAAAATGGCACTACAAAACTTATGAATATTTTTCGATAGTTCTATATAAATATTTTTTGTGAAACAACATTACAATAGTTGTGAAAATAACACAACAATTTTTTTCCTCTAAAATAGAACTTTTATTTTTATAACTCACTATATTGCAATTTTTCCATGAACACTCTGAAATTTTTATTGATAATCTAATATTGCAATAAAATTTTCTTTCTAAAATGGAACTACCCAATTTGTGATTTTTTTAATAATTCAATACAAATTTTTTCCCAAAATAGTAATTCAAAAGTTGTGAAAATGACACAATATTTTTTTCTCCGAAACGGAACCCATAAATTTTATAACTCACTACAAAATTTGTTAATCGTTAGACAAATCTCTAACAAGAGTGTATTGTTATATTTTTAAAAAATATTAATTTTAAATTCAAAACTAAAAAAGTAAAAAGTAAATTTTTCTAAAATAATCCCACCTTTCATTTATTTGCAAAAAACAGGCATTTTCAAAAACTTCCGTTAAGTGGCCGTTAGTTTTTTAACAGTGACCCAAAACTCGCACACATGCGAAAAGGTGGGACTATTTTCGGTGACAGTGAAAAGTGATATTATTTTTGAAAAAGCGCGGAAAGGTGGGATTATTTGAGATAATTTTTCCTTTTTTTAAATGAAATGATAAAAGTAATCTCTATTTTTTTCCAGTTCCAAGCTCAGGCCTCAGAGTCACGTTTTTATTGTCTTCAAAATTCTCTGCTGAATCTTCATTTTTTCGCTTTTCCGAAAATCTGAATTCTCTTAATTTTCAGCTGTGCCGCCGTACCGCCTGCGGGCCGCCGGGATCCGGACTGAGCCCTCTAATTTTTCCAATCGCCTGGATCGTTGATTTGTTGCCCTGTTCTCTGCGTAACTGAGTTCGTCCTTGAGTTTACACCGCGGGATCGTTGCTGCATTTTCTTCCTGCAGTCCGTGCCACCTGCCGACCGTCGACCTCGTACCGGCGTTACGGAACGCCGAAGGTCGGACTCCGCTCCGCTGCCCACCGGAGAGTATGCGATTGACTATTTGTAATTTCCTACTAGTGTGAAATTTTGCATTTTCTGCAATTTCAATTTTCGAAGAAATTATATATTTGCGCGGAAACTTAGAATTGAAGGGAGGAACAATAATTACGAAATAAGAATAGCCTCCACTCCCTTGCATTTGCCTTTTCACTTTTCAGTAGTTTTGTTCACTTTAATCAAAGTGAAATAGCTGAAGAATCACACTTGCAGTTTCGAGATCATTTTGAAGTGAAATGAAATCAAAGGTGAAATGGGCAGCACTAGGTGGACTGGTCCTGTCCTTTGTTTCCTTGCTGGTTCATTTATTCTTGGCCAAGTCTAGCGCTAATCTTGTACAGTACACTGCCTTTGCTACTTTTGCTGATGATCTAACCCCTAATCATCCAATTAAAAAGGTAAGCAGAAATTTGTAATCTCATTACTCTGTATTATATGTTGTTTGGTGCTTGATTTGGCATTACATAATCTGAAAAGGGTTTTGCATATCGGAGTTTGTGGGGAAAGATCAAGTCTTTGGAGCCACTGCAGCATTATGCAGATCCAAGAAGTACATACACAGGTAATACACACAACAAAAAATAGTATTGTGCTTCAAATTTTGTGATGCATCTAGCTTGATTACTTGTCATAATCCTATATGGTGATTTTTCTTTTTTTTATTTTTTTATGGCTTATTTTGCATTTGCAAGTTGCATGTACCTTGTTATGTTCATCTGAAATTGAATATGTATAGGAGTTCACCTTTTTGCGAATGTCCCGGGGTCTCCCCTTTTGAAAACTACAATGCCTAATGTTTACTAAAGAAAAGAAATGAAATCCATTTAAGCTCACTTGAGACAAACAACAATAACAACAACAACCCAATTGGGACAATGCAAGAGTAGGGTAAGGGAGGGTGTGTGTACGTAGATCTTGCTTGTACTCGAAAGTAAGGAGGCTATTTCCTAGAGACCCCCGGCTCACTAAGCAAAAATAATAAAAGATAATAATAGTAATAAAAGATCTCATAAAATGCATAAAAAGCATAGAAAGCACAGATAAAACCCAAAGCTCACAAAGGAAAAGGACAAACTATTGTTAACGAAAGAAAATACTGCAAACATAGAGCACTAAGCATATAAGGCATACACAGCACACCACAGAAAACTACCACCTAGCCCAAAGCGTCTACCCAACTACTCTAATCCTAGCTTTCCAAACACTCCTATTTAAGGTCATATCCTAAGTAAGGGTAAGTAAGGGTAAGAAGTCCCAAGTCCTGTCTAATGACCTCCTTCCAACGCTTTCTAGGTCTACCCCTTCCCCTCTCCCACCAACTAACGTAAGTCTCTCGCATATCCGCACTGGGCGTCAGCATCTACCTACCATAGCTTTCCGCAGCTTATCTTCCACAGGTGCCATGCTAACCCATCCTCGGATAACCTCGTTCGGAATCTTATCCAACCTCGTTTGTCCTCACATCCACCGTAACTTTCATATCTTCGCAACATGCAGTTGACAAACGTGAGTATTCTTAACTGCCCAGCACTTTGCACCATACAACATAGCCGGTCTGACTATAGACCGGTAGAACTTACCTTTCATCTTATGAAAATTGTTGTGTTAAAACTTAATATGAACTGAGTGGATTTTCTTCAAACCACATTGATGCCCAGGCCGTCTCACTTTCATTCTTTCTGTTCTTTTTCTCTTCTTTTCTTCTCAGGTACAAGCTTATACTTTAGATAACATTTATGATCTCTTTCTTAGTTTGAGAGATGATTTTGAGATGTAAAGTTTTATGCCTGCTCTCTCTGGCAGCATCTCTCTCTCTCTCTCTCTCTCTCTCTCTTCATGATCTTTTTATCATTAGTATTTCATATAGTTGATTCTTCATACTGTCTACCAATGCAAGTCAATTAGAGAAAACTGAATCCTAGGAGAGCCTAATTTCTTGTTTTTAGAAAGCAATTGCTGTGATGGTGCCATAGAAGTATAGAACATTCATTTAGACTAAGTTATTAGCTTGACAATATGATCTTCTGTTTTTTTACTGTTTTGATTTTTCTTAAAGTACTGTTGATACACTGGGGACTTCTAATCTTCTATCTCTCAGTGATTCAATTAATATCTTTTACCACCATCAGAAGTTGTTTTCCGTTTTTCAGTTCCGTTAGAGCAAAACAATGGTTTCATTTATGCAAAGATTTTTGGATCGTTTGAGAAGATTAGAAACTCGGTATGCTCATATTCACTTGTAGAAGAAATTTTTGCTCTTTCATGCCCTTCAACTTTTAGGCTGTGACATCTTGCTGATTTGCTTAGATCTGTGATTTGGTCACCGTAGCTAGGCTTTTGAATGCAACCCTTGTCATTCCAGAGATTCATGAAAGTACACAGTCAAGAGGCATCAGGTTCGTTTTGACTTTATTGCTGATACATAGATAAACACATATGTTTGTTTTTTTAAATTTAATATCGTAGTCTGTTAATATATATGAGCATTTGCAGCTCAAAATTTAGGAGTTTTTCATATCTTTATGATGAGGAAAAGTTCATAGCGAGCTTGACAAATGATGTGATCGTCGTGAAGGACCTACCACCAACCTTAAAGAAGGCAAGGAGAAAAAAAGAGTTCCCAATTTTTAAACCTAGGATCGCCACTTCTCCTACCTTTTATATCTCTGAAGTTCTGCCAAAGTTGAGGAAAACAAAGGCCATTGGGTTAATCTTGTCGGATGGAGGATGCCTGCAGGTAATTTCGTTCCAATTTTTTAAATTGTCTTTCTAGCATATACCACTTCACACGTAACACATGTGCCATTGTTAAAAGTCCAATGCTCTAATGTAAATTTAGATGGGCATTTTCATTATTGTTGCTATTATTTTCATAATCCTTACATGATAAGGATTTAAAGTTTCAGGCCTCTGGTATGCCCTTGAAACTTATCTTCTACATCTATGATGTACCAAAAATATTAATATTACTTTTTATCCTTCAACTCATTGGGACCGAATCTAAAAGTATGTTATTTCTTATATTTTCAGTCCATCCTTCCACCTAGCTTGGCTGAGTACCAAAGGCTTCGATGTCGTGTGGCATTTCATGCACTTCAATTTCGCACTGAGATCCAATCTCTTGGTTGGCTCATGGTGGAAAGGTGAGAGCTGTAAGATATGATATATTCAACTAGATTTTTGTATGTCGATTGGTTGCTGGTAAGTTTCATTGATATTCTAGGGCGGATCAATTTCTAGGTTTAACACATGTTGCCAAGAGATTTACAAGCCTCAAAATTATCCCTTCTCCCCATGTTAATTGTCTAGTTAATGCTTTAAATATGTACATGGTGAGCATTATGATTATATGAGGTAAATCGTCCTAAGTTAACATTTTGATGATATCCCAGTATCTGGTCTAGTAGTGGATATTATGCTTCAAGATAATATAGCAAATGCTTGATCTAATCTCTACCGTAAGGCATATTCTTCAATGGTCTTTAACAATACCTATAGCTACATTGTTATATATCTGTTTTTTTTCTGAATAAAGCTTATTTTCCACTTTTGCTACAACAACCTAGTAAAATCTCATAAATGGGGGTGTGGAGATGGGTTTACACAGACATTACCCCATGGTAGTCAAAATCGCGATCCGGATCGTACGATTGTACGATTCCGGAGATTGCCATGAGGGTTCCGATCCAACTCGCAGTCAAAATCGCAAGAATCCTTCGGGTCGGAAGAATCGCCGATCTGGATCGTGCAATCGCACAATCGCAGAAAATCGTCGATCTAAAAAAGGAAAGAATTGGAAATTTGAAAAGCCCTATTTTGTTGCTTCGATTTTGTCGATTTAGTTGCTTCGACTATTTCGCTACTCCCAATTTGAATCGCGATGATTTCGCGACTTCCAATTCGAGTATTTTGTAGCTTCTAGACTTCTCCCTTCTAACGCCGCAAAGCTTGTTGCCCTGCGCGTCTCCTCCAAGTCTCAATTTTTGCCCAGGATATATCTCTGATTTTTAATTATATATAAGGAGTGTGGGTTATACTGTAAAAGGGTAATTTAGATTATAAATGGGTAAGTCTGATATCCAACTTGAACTTGTGTTATGTTTTATTAAAATTTAATATATATATATATATATATATATATATATATATATATATATATATATATATATATATATATATATATATATATATATATATATATAGTAGGATCTTACGATCCGAGTCATGATCTTACGATGTTACATTCTTCATTAGACCCATCGATCCTACGTAGAATCTAGAGTTTGACTACCATGTTACCCCTACATAGAAAAGGTAGAAAGGTTGTTTTCAGAAGACCCCGACACAAGCACAAAACTACAAAAGGAACAAGAAGCACAAAAAGTGCAGAGTAAGAACATATCATTGGGTAATGGAAAAAGAAAATTGAAATAATACCCAAACAAATATTTCACTACATCTAACTAGTCCCGTTCGCTCCGAGCAAAGGGAACAACTCCTATCTAGCTCTATCCTACAATTTTCTCTGTATTTACAAATTACAATGCATGCCATGTCTTGAGTACAACAAAGGGATGTGTATTTTTCTTTAATGCAATCTATAAATTACATAGCTGTCTGGTTTGTACAAAGTGGAAGGTCTTTGTTGCTTCAATGCTTACCAGCTGCGACATACTGAGGAAGTGATATCTTTTTTATGATCCTCGTATGGTTTCCTGTTAAGAGAGAATTTTTTTATTGCTGCAGATCAAATGCGGTGCTTGAAGTTTTTTGTAACTGTGAGCAGCATTAAAATACAATTATACAAAAGTTATCAAAAAATGTCTTTTCAAAAGGAATGTGAAATACGAGTAGATAACTATGCACTTATTTATACAATTAGGATGGGGGCATGGGGCCAAATTGGAGTTATACTAAATTAATTCTCAGGAGTGCAATTAATATATCCTCCTAAATCTGTATCCTTTTACCTGTTTAATGGGTATATTTATTTATGGGACTTATTAGTTATAAGATCCTTTTTTCAACACAGGTTGCGAGCAGCAGGCCAACCTTACCTTGCTTATAATCCTGGACTTAAGAGAGATAACCTAGCATATAACGGTTGCGCTGAACTTTTTCAGGTTTAGAGCAAAACTTAATTAACAGCTCTCTTTTATTTACTTAATATGATATCTACAGTAAGCATTTAGTTACTGAATGTGAATCTATATTCCGGTTAATTTGCTACTGTAATACTTTAGCTCATTGTCATGCTTAATTTTTGCCTTAGTAAAAACTATGGTGTTTGCCATTTTTTCAGATGCATAAATAAGAATCTAGACTTCCGTATTGGACTTTTCGTTCACTTTCTGGCTTTCATATATTAAATTTTGCAACTGTAGTTTGCTTTATGCCTTTATTCAACTCCTTTCATTATGTCATCAATCATCATCATCATCATCATTCGTTCATTCACCTCCTTAATCCCAATTTCATGGGCTCGGCAACATGAAATTTATAAAATTTATATTTGTCAACTTTCTAAAATCTAAAATTATTCTAGTGTAGTGTAAATTGTCAAAGTATTATGTTGGATGTCTTTTTTGTGCCGGCCTTCTAAACAAGGAGTGATGGAAATCTAAAATTGTCACCCTAACAGGTTACATCTCTTGCACAGGAAATATCATGAAATGACAATGCTTTAATATAGTTACTATAGTCATGCATAATTGACAAACTGATATTCTACAACATGCACTGCCTTTATGTAACCGTACATGTTTCTCTTTAACATGTAGCAAACTTGTATAGACAATGATTTCAACTGAAACCATTTAGAAGATGTCAATTGAATTACATCACCCACATTTTGTCTCGTGTTAATAAGCTAGAAAGGTTTTTATCTATTCCAATCACCTATGCACAACTCAATGATCTCATAAGTCATAGTAGCTCTACATTATTACATTTTTTTGTTTTTCAATCTAGCATTTTGCTATTTCTTGATGTAAATATCTATAAAAGAATAATCAAAAGGAGTCTTTATTTTCTAAGGTAATACGGAGTACAACAAATTACTTTCGGGCAAATTCTGCTTTTGTACTTTAAATGCATTTGGAATTGCTATTCTTATGCATCCTTGAACCAATGGATTTTGACAAAACTGAATTCATACATCTGCTAGAGAATTGTGTTAGCCTTTATGTTTTTGAGATATTGTTCACTTAAAAGTGCATTTCTCATATGGTCACCCTTCAATACAATTGTTGTCTTTGATGATGGTTTCTATAATTCTATTGGTTAAGGATGTCCACACAGAGCTCATACAACATAGGCGAGCTCAAATGATTAGACAAGGTATCCTTAATGAAGATCTGATGGTGGATTCTCATGCTCGAAGAAGAAATGGTTCATGCCCGCTTATGCCTGAAGAGGTAAATATGAAAACTCAAAAGATAATTTCAGAAGTCAATTAGAAAAGTGTAGAAAGTAGAAACCTTTGGTTTAGAAGCCTTAGGTTTCACCGATTACGGTTATATCCATTATCTCTCTATATAAGCATTGTATTAAGGGGTGCATTCAATCCAGAGTATAGACTTTTGAAAATTTTTTAATGAATAAAAAAAATTGAAACTGTTCAATTAAAAATTACTATGTTCCGCAATCTGTCCCTTCTTACCTTTTCTGTCTTTCCCACTATACCTGTCTCATCCCATATTTATGTGCTCCAAAACCATCCGTACTCTATCCATACTTTACATATTCAATATCAATTACACCATTCTGGTTTTCCTATTTTGCAGCCAACACCATTTGTCCTAATCTTAGTGAGACAGAGGGAGTAGAACTTCTGAAGTCTTGAAATTTAAAATGACTGTTTGTATTCAGTTTACACTTTTAAAGTATGTTGGGATTTATTTAAGACTAATGAGTTCGTAAAAGTTAAAAGTCATGTGGTATGAAAGACTCATCAACTCTCACATTTTCTTACTTATCAAGACTTCTTTGTCTTGATAAGTACATGGCTCATGGTTTACTGATCCGTAATCTGTAGGTAGGACTGCTACTTCGAGCAATGGGCTACCCTCCAAGAACAAGGATATACATGGCAGGTTCTGAAATATTTGGTGGTCAGAGGATTATAATTCCCTTACGGGCCATGTACACAAACTTAGTCGACCGCACTTCGTTGTGCAGCACATCAGAGCTGGACAATTTAATTGGTCCAGAAACCTCACTCCCTCCTGATCCCATCCAGCTCCTACCTGTGAAAAGTGAGAAGCAACTAAAAGATGAATGGGACACGGGTGGGCCCCGACCAAGGCCTCTTCCTCCTCCTCCTGACCGACCTATATACCGCCATGAAAAAGAAGGGTGGTATGGTTGGATAGCTGAAAAAGATTCTGAGCCGGATTCCACACCTCGTGATTTAAGGGAACAAGCTCACCGCTTACTATGGGATGCCCTTGATTACATTGTTTCAGTGGAGGCAGATGCATTCTTTCCTGGTTTTGACAACGATGGTAGTGTATGGCCTGATTTTTCCAGCTTGGTGATGGGAAATCGGCTTTATAACAAGGCATCTTCTAGAACATTCCATCCTGACAGGTATTTTGTGGCTGTTTGGGAGCCATTTTTTTTCAGTTCAGCATTCATAATATTCACCAAAGCAATTGCAGCCAACTTCACCCATTTCATAATATTTACCAAAGCATTTTTTTCAGTTCAGCCATTTTTTTCAGTTCAGCATTCATAATATTTACATTCCGTCCTGAAGTTAAAATGATAATTTTTAGCGATTTCCATTTCTTCTTAATATTTAAATATTTCAAAAAACATATTTTCATGGCCCAGCGATTGCAGCCAACTTCACCCTTACCCAACGAGCTCTTAGTATTCCAAATGACTATATACCTCTCTTTGCTTGGTCTACTGATGAACTCATTGTCTTAACAATGCAATTTTGTCTAATACTCACCATATAAAGGAAAGTACTCCATATAATGGAAAGAATATAATGTCACAGAGCCCATATTATGGAAAGAATGACATATTTGGTATTTTATGGGACAAAAGGGGTGCTATTTTAAAGTTGTTAATAAGTACTTTATATAATGGAAAGAATAACATATTTGGTTAGTTGTCATTAAGTTTTGAAGTACTCCATCAGATAAAAAGTCATGTTTTACCAAGTTATGTTTCATAGTTTTTGATGAGTAAATTTACATTCTTTATGGTTATTATTGACCAAGCAGGAAATATCTTGCAGAGCTCTTCAATGCTACGGCTGAGCGTCTGTACTATCCGCCACGCAACTGGACTCTCTCTGTAAGAAAACATCTAAACAGAAGCACTAGTGAAGACGGGCTTACAAAAAAAGCCCATCTTTCCAAACCCAAACTCTTCCTTTCACACCCTATCCCAGAGTGTTCTTGTTCAACTGCAAAGGCTCTCGAGATTTTGAATTCTGAAAAAGACCGAAGTGCCCTTCATTTGTTATACGGAGGACAAATGAGGTGCCCCAAGGCGATAGAGGAACGAGTGAAGTCCGAGGAGAGTGATCCCGAGGAGGTAGACTCCCGTGAAGATGAAGCAGAAATGGAGGGACAGTTAGATTCTGAGAGTACAAGTGGAACTGATGCGATCCCTTCCCTGGAACAGGATGAGGAAATGGACCCTGATGATTAGTTTCATGGCTGATCTGCCCAAAATATTTTTGCGATTTTTTTGGAGCCTGACGAATCGCAGGAATCTCGCGAGGAGCGTTCATAGTTTGAAGAGACGAGCCTGAAAAAGAAGGGGATAACAATTTTTTTAAAAAAAAACTTGACAGGAAAATGTCGTCGCCATACAAGAGGGGTATTACTGTCTTCTTTCTTCTTCAGGATTTTGGTTGTTCAAACTGGAAAAGTTGTCTAATTCCATGTAAATAAACCTCTACTATTTCATGCAAAGTTTCTTTGGTGATTTTTTTTTTCCTTTTGAAGAAACCTAATACTGTAAAAGTTTCTTTCATTAAGTCAGTGTTTAAACAAAAATTTCTTCTTTGCATCTATTGTAATTAACATTATTTAAACTAAAAACATAGAATAAATGTTTCATTCATATTAAATTTAAATACTCAATATATGAACAAAGTGCACTTGAAAAGGTACCTACACTTATCCTTAAACTTCCGTGCTTGATGGGGAAGAAGGGGCAGAACGACCTCTCTCTATCTATACTTCCTGCAGCCAGCAATGAAATGTCGTCTAGGCGTTCCTTGTTCCGATACCTACATCCCTGCATTTTACGTGGCCATCAATCCATCACGGCTTTCCATACCGTGTGGCTTTAATAGTGAAATTTGCAGTGTAATTCATAACCATATAAACATATATTCCCTCCACCCCGAATTAATTTGCACTTTCTTTGTTCATTCTAAAATAGTCTAAGCTTTATACTTCTCTTATTTTATTCTTAAGAAATGGGCGTGCCACTCATAAAAATGTCTCTTTTCAAAATCAACTTATAAAGATACATATACTCCGCATTAGTTTTCAGCATTTTTCTTTATATTTCTTATAGTCAAATCGTGGGTAAATGAGCATTTTATTCTTAACAACAAAAGCACTGTAAGTTTTCTGAACGTTGCAAAAGTTATCCTTATCCTTACACAGATGAACTTGTACATCTTTATACACCCCACTAAAATTGCTAAAAGTTCAATGAAGATTGGTTAGTAAGCAAAACGCTTGGTTCCTTTCACACTCAACATTGGATGTCATATTATGACACCCATGTCATGTGCGGGTCCTACGGTGCTTCGTTTCGACCTTGACATGATTTCTACCCTCCTAGCCAATCCCAACCCTCTAGATTCAACATCATGCTATAGTACCATTGTAGCATAAAAGCGAGGCCAGAGCATGAAATTTAGGGAAGGGCTAGGGGCAAGAAACTACTTCAAGGCCGAATGGAGCACCATAGAGCCCTCAAATCACCGGGTGTCATCATATGATACCCATGTCGGGTGTCAAATTATCCTTGCCCTAAGCAAAAATGCCAAGAATCTAAACTAAGAACTAAGGATCCCAGAGTCCTCTTTCCCCGAGCCTTTCTCTTCCCTATTGATTAGCTGGCGCTCTGCAGGCGGGAAGAGCGCCGAGTTAACCTTGCTGGAGAGTTTGCAGTATTCTGAGAAGCAGTGGTTCTTGGGTTGTCAGTACCGACTTCTTGGTATGTTCTTCTTCCCTTCTTCCTTGGGACCTGATCTTCCTCTTCTACCTTTTCCACTTTAGCAATGATGAAAGGCCAGTCTGTGCGACAACCAGGACAAACTTTTTCAGCCTGCATATGAAGCAAATAACTTGTTTCATCTGGTCTTTACATCCAAAAGTCAGTAATTTTCATTTTGCAAGGAAAAGATTTACCTTCCTTTGAGAAAACTTCATGGTAAGGCAATACTTGTGGATTCGGACATTGCAGTTCGAGTTTGGGCACGATTCCACCTGATCAAAACAGTGAGAAGCAATGCTACCTTAGTGGACTAAATGAACAAAACCAAACAAGCCATGATATCCTGCTCAATAGTAAGGTCTGCTAGCAACATATACCTTTCTATCATACAGAGTATGAAGGGTGTTTACAAGAAGGGAAAAGAAATCATACAATGAGCCTACGACATCTATAGCATTCAGCTATTCACAAACATTCCCTACAAGGACTGTAAAAATCAAATTACATACAACCTAAGCAGTGGTCTTCTGCTGTAGGGTTTATGCAAAATTGCTAGTTGTTAACAGTTATTCGTGACGTTAAATGTACAATACTCAGACGAGAAACGGAAGAAAGGAAATGCAACAAACTACAATAAATGAAGATTTTTTTTTCTAAGAGAAGGTATCGCATGTAGAGTATTCACCTTCACAGCAGCCTCGTTGCAAAATTGACAAGAAGGAACCTCGTTGCTGCGGAACCAACTCCTGAGATCAAGAAAGGAACGCACCCCTAGCCCAACTTTACCATCTGATGTTAAGCATAGCCAGCTATCCCCCACCAGCTCTTCAATTGTCTTTTCCTTTTGAGACATTGAAAAATTCCTAAATGCTGCTGGAACCTGTGTTGATTCTGTTTGTGACTGTGAGCTTGAATCATTAAGTACCTGGAGACCATATCGATTTTCAACCAGTTCAGTTGAGATTCAGATTTAAAAAGAAATAAGGAAAAGAAGAAAGAAAAGGGGATGTCTTGGTAGTACGTCAATTGTCAAGAAACAACTTATCAACGAAAAGATTATAACTAAAGAGAGACAGGATCATATTCGAGCTAGATTATATGCCCTAAAGCAGTCTTTTCCCTCGACAAAGAAATTTGAAGGCACATAGGACCCGTTTGGATGAAAACTAATTTTGAATTTGACTCTGATTTCTAGTTCATGATTTTAAATTTGTTGTTTGCTTGAAGCATACGAGAATGGATCAGATTTGGAATGAGGATATCCAGGGGATAGTGGAATTGTCCTCTGTGGAGAATAAACTACGTGAAGCTAAACTAAGATGGTTTGAGCATATACTGAGGGGAGGTACAAGTGCCTCAATGACGAGGTGCGAGAGGCTTGTGCTAGGAGCCTTAAGAAAGGTAGAGGTAGACCTAAGAAGAGACAGAGGATGTGGTTAGAGAGGACTTCTGATTTCAAGTTCTCCCCGAGAATATGGTCTTAGTTAAGGGGGCAAATGGAGGTCCAGCATTGTAGTGGTATGAATGTATGATATACCATTGGGCTTATGTTTGTAGTTCTATGTGTGCACTACTGTGCTCTAGTGCATAGTTTCTGCATGTGTATTTGTTTTCATTTGTGGTCTTTCTTTGTTCCTGTTACTTTTTTGTACTTGTGTTCATGTGTTTTGAGCTGGGGTTCTTCTGGAAATAATCTCTCTACGTTCTATGTAGAGGTAAGATGTGCGTCCACACCGACCTCACTGCATGGGAATTTACATTGTCTATTGTTTTGTAAGGAGCACGACTCAAGTCATGATTTATAATTTTGACTCTAATACTATACTTTATTTGAATCGTACCAAGGTGAAGGATAATCGCATCATTTCGAATCATAACTCATCTCATCTCAATAAACACTCATACCCACCCTCTCCTACCCCACACCCACCCCATCCTATCATTGCCTCGAGCCCGCCCTATCCTACCTCACCACCCCTCCACCCTCCACAACCTCACCTCTCTCATCGCACTCATCCCTAGCCTATGCTACTTGCCCTTTCCCACACCAGCCTACCCCACCCTCTCTCACCCACATCCCACTTACCCAACCTTCTTATTTCCCCAAGATCCACCCACCCTCTCATACCCCTCTAGAGTCACCCCGCACCCACTCCCCAATGCACCTCGCACATACCCTCCCCTATACCCCTGTTCCACCCACCCACCACCCTTGCCCCCGCTCTCCCATACATTCATCTTCAGAAATGTTTATGACAAATCTAGAACATTCTTCAAACATCATTCTTTAAATCTCCGACTTCTAGACACAGATTTGTAATCACTGTCCAAATAGGTCCTTAAAGATTCCATTTTTGCAAAAAAATGAAAATGTATACTCCCTCCACCCCATATAATTTCTAGTGATTTGACATCACAGAGTTTGAGAAAGTTGATTAAAAGTAAACAATGTAAAGTTAGAATTTGTTTAGAGGGGAGAGAATCGTTGGTAGCCACACATTCATTACCAAAATAGGGAATAAAGTAAGTGTAAAGTTTTTTAGGACTTCCAAAAAAAGGAAAATGTAAAGAATTTTATGGGACAGAGGGAGTAAGTGATTGTTTAGTGTAATTTGTCTCATCTAGTTAAACTTTCCCTGCACAAGAGGGATGTATTTGTAAGCCTAAGACCTCAAATCAATATTGAAGAAAACCTTTCTCATTTCAAAATGTTTTTATTCATACATAGTATATACAGCACTAACATGGCTTTTCTCAATCCCAATTCCAAACCTAGAAAATAATGTCACAGGTGCACAAAACAAGCAAAGCAAAAAGGATAAATATGAAAGAAAAGGTAATAGATGACAAATCAATGATTGATGAACAACTTAAGGTGGAAAGCCAACAAACTTGATTTTCCAAGCGTATGTTTATAGCCTGAATTTTTGATATGCTGCCTTCAGCCCCATCCTGGACAATAGCTTCGATCTAAAGAGGGCCATAAAATTGAATGAGGTCAGAATAAAGAGCCATCAAATATGCCGCCCAGCCTCTCCAAAGAACCTATAATATGACTAATGCTAACAAGCAAAATTTAACTGAAATAAGGAAAATAGCATTGAAGAAGACAGTACAGTGGGGCAAAAATACCATGGCCTTATAGAAAGCAATCTGAGGAACCGAATATTTAGTCCCAAGCTTTGACTGGTCATCAGAAACATTATTCACAACTCCATAATATACACTACCATCATACTGGTTTTTGCAGGCCCTCAGTTCAAATTGGACATACGCCAGTTCTGCATTTATCTTCCTTAGAAACTCATTAAATAGCTGCTGATGTGCAGCTGAAATACACAAAGAAAAAAACAAGGAATCAAAAATGACAATTAAACTCAATTCTAATCATCATACTGAACATACTCCGAAATTAACAGCATTTAGGGCTGGATGGAAACAACATTTCTTTACAAATCCTGTAAAAGTTTGCACCTTTTTTACCAGAACTTTGAAAAAATGATTTCAGCGATAAATATAATCTTTCTGGAGCGGGGTGAGGGTAAACCAGTTCAATCACTTGAATATGTACAAATGAAGCGATAGTTTAGAGGGGAAAAAAATGAAGAAAAGGGGGAACCTGGAGATTTTTCTGTGACGACATGGAAGATGGACTTGAAATCGGCTTCCGGGAGAGGGCCGCGGGACAGCAGGGCTTGGATGAGGGTGTGGTGTCGCCAGCTCAGCGCCGGCATTTTGATCGGAGAGACAGAGAGCCAAGGAGCGAGGAAAGATGATGTGAGGAAAAATGGAGGGAAAGTGCTTCATGAATCCAAAACCCTAGACTTTTTTGGGCGGGAACATGAAGAGTGGGCAATATCGAGACGAAGACGCACGGGAAATTGTTATTCGGTTTATTTTTGCTGTTTTCATTTATTTATCATGAGAACAAATATTGAAGAATATATAAATGTGAAACGCCCACCCGGGCGCTCACGCCTCAATCGGACAGGATTGTGAGATGAGTAAATTATACGGAGTAGTATAATCTCATTTTGGTTCTAAAGAGGCTGTCACGTGCCTGATGCGCACAAGAAGCTATTACAAATAATAGAACTTCCACATTGCCGCAGTCAAGATTCGACCCTAGAAACAATGAATTTGACATCCTCTCCTTAAATCAGTTGAACTACCCATGCGAGCATATTCGAATCTCAATCACGAATCGAATTAAAATTATTCGTTCGTCTTACAACTCCAGAGCCCACACAATACACAATTCCAAAAGGAAAGAATTTCCAGGGAGGAAAGAACAATATTGAAGATTTATGGCATAATTTAACAAGATCCAAACAACAACCATTACAAAAAGTTAAAAACATTGTCAAAGCTCTTCTTTTTCTCCGATCAAAATCAGATCGCAAGAAAAGAATCTTCTTTTTCTTTGATGGATTTACACAACAACACAAAAGGGAGGTCGAGGGTGATGCCGGACAATGGCCGCACTGGCTTAACTCACAGTGACTATGTTATCGTTGCCCTCTTCATCCTCACCCCCAAAATAAAAAAGAATATTTATGCCCCGTAAAATGCACGAACTTAGTTTCAAATAATAGTTTCAAAAAATTAAAAACTTAAATTCACAAATGTAAATTTATGTATTTTGTGAAGGTTTTGGTTTTGACTCGAGCATTACTCAAATAAAAAGGGTAGTAATGTCTATATATATACACCATTTCCTCCATGAGGGAAAAAACAAAACAATCATGTACTCCCTCCGTCCCAAAAAGAATGAGACGGTTTGATTTTTTGGGAAATTAAGGGAATGATATTTTGGTATTGACTTTCCAAAAATACCCTTGATGTGATGGGTAAAATTAGGATGTGATGGGTAGATTATTAGAAAAAAGGTATGATGTGATAGGTAGGGTATGAAAAAGTAAGGGGTAAAAGTGGTTTTTTAATAGAAATGAAACGGACATTACGGGACGCAGTATTCCCATTTTTCCTTATTAGTGAAAAAGTATGATGTGATAGTATTTAATTTATTGACTCGTATTACGAATGCATGCAGATAAGATTCGACTATCCGTCGGAGACTCTGACGTCGGTGCGTGGGTCCTAGCTACTACGTGTCGTCTTCGGGTACGATAGCGTCGTCCATGACATTTGAGACACACGAGAAAACGTATGGACCTTTCGGGGAACGATCCGAGGACTACGACAACCATGCTTTCAATTACCGCGTGGGCAGCTTTGATTCTGTAAAAGGGTTTCATGGGACTCTTAACGGGGATGGCTCCATTGGGAGCATTGGCATTTATTTACAGACTTAGCTTGATCGATCATAATAATAATAATAATAATAATAATAATAATAATAATAATAATAATAATAATAATAATAATAATAATAATAATGGTTGTTGAAGTATTGTATTTATTCATGGACAAAACTTCAATTTTATTTCGTTATGTTATTTCGAGGGATATTATGAGTTCCAAGTTTTGGAGTGCATTTCAATTTCTTGTCTCTTCTTATAGAACTTATTCTACGGTCCAAAATTGATTCATGCATTTTGATTTGATTTAATGGCCTTTGGTGTTTGATTAATTTTTGAGATTTGAAATATACTTCATCCGTCCCAAAATAAGGTTCTAGTCTGATTTACGATTATTATTTTAAGTTTATTTTTTTTGTTGTCATATACTCCCTCTGTCCCACTGTCTTTGTCCACTTTTGACTTTTGGAACTGTTCATCTAAGCACTTTGACTCATCAAATTCTCTCAATGTGTAAGCCTAAATATAGTCATGTGCGATCTTGTTTGATTTGTCTTAACATATAGATTATTAATATATAATTTCTATAATTTTTTAATATACAAATTACAAAATAAAATGGATTAAAGAAGTGCATTGGATGGTGTGCTAAAAGGTAAATGGACAAAGACAGTGGGACGGAGGTAGTATATTCAACGCTTTTGTATGCCCAACTTGTGAAATTGCAAAAGATAAATGTTACAAAATGTCTATATTAGAATCATAGTTCAATTCACCTACTCTTAGGGTCTGGTCTAAAGCTGAGCATTTTTCCAAATTGCTTGCGAAACCGTTGATCAAAAAAACCAAATTAATCTATAGTTTGTTTTCGATTTTCATGTGAAAATTTTAGTGTATAAAATAATTTCAGTTTCACTTCATGGAGTGTGGTGGTAGTGGCGGTAGTGCGATGTTAGACTACCGAGCATCGGTGAATGGTACAATCGTACGATGGTGAACACCGGCGACCATGAGCGGCACTCTGGTGATCTCATGACGTTAGGAAGCGGGAAGGAGGTGACATTATGACTTAGGGGGTGTTTGTTTTTCTGCCAGAACTCTGGCGTCTTTTGTCTGCGCCGCGCAGACGCGCGCAGATGATGGGCTCTGCAGATTGTTTGTTTTTTAGAAGACATTTCACTCAAAAAGGTCTTCCTGACATCTTCTTAGAGAAGACATTAACCAATGTCTTCTAACATCTTCTCCTTTTTTTGTACTTCTCTTCACCACCACAACCGTCCACCGCCACCGTCCACCACTACCGCCGTCCACCATCACTGTCACCGTCCATCACCATCGTCGTCCACCACCACCGTCCACCACCACCGCCGTCAACGTCCACCACCACCCTCCACCACCACCACAATCGTCCATACACCACCACCGTACACTACCACCATTAATTTATATAGCAGTCTACAGACATTAAAAAACAAACAGTCTTCTTCTTGCAGATCACAAACCTTCGGTCCACCACTTCTCCTGCAGATGTCTACAGTAGTGATCCGCAAACCGCAGACCTTTTCCTGCAGAAAAAACAAACAGTCCCTTACTCTTATGGGAGTGTGAAAGCTTCTTATGCTCCAAGACGGATTCATCATCCCATATTGGTTCAGGTCATTTCTCGCCAAGACGTACACCATACAAATTTGAATGAGTCGTACACAAGGTGAAGAGTTCTCCTTGAAATGCATCCCAAACTTATTAGGGTGTAGCATATTTTCATACTCCCTCTGTCCATGAAACCCTTTCTTTTTTTCTTTTTTCATTCGTCCCAAAAAACACTTCTCATTTCTATTAAAAAGTCACTTTTACCTCTTATTTTTTCATACCATACCTATCACATCATATCTTTTTACTAATAATCTATCCATCAAATCAAACTTTTACCCATCACATCAAAAGACATTTTTGGAAATTCAATACCAAAATACACCCTCCTTAAATCTCTCTTCAAAATCAAAACTCTCATATTTTCCGGAATGGAGGGATTACTTTTTATACAACGTCATCTCTCTCATTCAGATCTGATTTCATACTTTTCATACTACAAGTGACGGTGTACATACGGTAATTCGCAAATTTATTACAATCATTTTTAAATAACTAAGAATAAAAATTAATTTTAAAATCATTTTTAAAAATTTAATGTTATTAGTAATTAATTTTATTAATAATTCATTTTAAAATATAATAAAAAATTTAAGTGTAAATGTTTAATTAACATGATAATAATACGATAATATTTCTTTTATTTAAACGAAACTACAATACTAAATAAAAGAAACTACCAATCCAAAACAAAAAAACATAAAAATAAGGATACTAAAAAAATATTAACTCCGATAATGATTTTAAGCGTTGGATATATAGGGGTGTTAAATTACGTTTAATTTTTTAAAAATGTAGAGGTAAAAAAGTGGTTTTAAACTAGGTTTTTATTTTTTTAAACTAAAAGGTAAAAAAGAGGTGTTCAATAAAGTATTTAATTTTTTTAAATGAAAAAGTTATAAATTAATAATCTATTTTTTTAAATGAAAAACTAATAATCTATTTATCACAACTTTTATTAATATCACATCAAGAGCAAAATTGAAAAGTCAATTATAATTTAACCATTCCTTATTTTGGTCTTGTGTCAAACTAGGAAGTGTTTTCCCAAACGGAGAGAGTATTAAAGTTTATACTCCCTCAGTCCAAAAAAATTTTCTCGGTTTGAATTCGCACAGAGATTAAGAAAAGCTAAAAAGTGTAAAGATTTTTAATGTATGGTTTGTCCTTGATGTAATGAAATAAAGTGAATATTGTAGATAAAAATTGGGGTATAATGGAAAATTATTAAAATTTTCTTGCCAAAATAGAAAACAGAAAAGAAACTTTTGGACGGCCTAAAAAGTATAGTGAGAAAAAAATTAATGGACTGAGGGAATAATATTTATTTAGATTATATTTAACTTATAGTTGAATAGTGTTGTTTTTTTATTAAAAAAGTCCAAATAAAAAAATTTCAAGACCAAAAGAACTATATATAATCCATAATTTAAAACTACATTAAATACTCTTCATGTAATCAGATGCGGCCTGACAGAATTGAGAGAAAGATAATTTCTTTTTCCAAAAAATATTCATTCAAGCACTCGAATTCTGTGCAATTGTCATTGCGAAACATACTTTACTTTCTTCCCAAAGTGACATTTAACCATGACTACAGAAGCACATGTCTACTGCATCTAGGCAAGATTTTGGAGTCATGTACGAGCAAGCAAAAGAGGTTGTTAGAACGAAGGAAGAATTGAAGCTGAACACTGAGCAAAAGCCAGCCAAGACATCCACACAAGCAGCTAGCACCAGCAAGGTCTTTCATGAGAAAAGGTCTCAGAGCGAATATGAAATCCAAGTATCAAAGAAAGCCAAGTCGATGCCTACTCAGTCCGTTGCCTCGACAAGCAAAGGGAAGCAACCTAGGCATCCCTTGTGTCCCCGTTGCAATCGCTATCATCCAGGAGAGTGCTGGTGGACGCTAGGACTGTGTATGGGATGCGGGCAAGCTGGTCATCAAAGGAAGAATTGTCCTATAAATCCGGGTACTGCATTTTCTGCCATTCACGTCTCAAACCAATCACAAATAGCAAATCCAGCTCAGAGTCAACGTACGATAGCAGGATCTCATGTGCAACGACCTCAGCAGCAACGACCGCCGCAAGCTGCGACAGAACAACATGCTAGAGCTCCAGCTAGGACATACGCTATGCATGGGCAAATCGATCCCAATCCAGATGCTGACTATGGTATGTTCTTATATGCATCGTAGGTATACATGGCATTATATGATCCTAACTTAGCTACTCGTGAACATACTTTCCTATTTGATTATGTGTATGGTTGCGAAAGGAGTGATAACAATTCCCTACGACGTCAAGGGATCCACGCGAATTCAATGTCTTCGTCTATTTCAGTGGCTAGGATGCTAAGGAATTTCGAGGACGAAATTCTTTTAAGGGGAAGAGAAATGTAACGCCCTAAAAACCGGCTTAATAGTTAGTCGTTATTTTAATAAAAATAAATAGATTATTTATTGACTCCAAAATATGAAGTATTTGTAAAGTTGACCATTTTAATTAAAAATTAGGTTTTCGAGTAGATCTCGTAAAATAGTGACCAACGGTATATAATTTGTTAAGTTTGAACTTTTGCAAATTAGGTTTACGTTAGAATATCTTCCGTTTCTCCTTCTTCTGCAACGCAACGGAACCGAGCAAACCAAGAGTTTCGTCCAGAAATCTTCGCCGGAGTTCTACAAGGGTTCAATTCGTCAATCGAGGTGAGTGAATTATCTCTCGTTAGAATTGATTTGTAGATTAGGATTCATTGATATGTTTTCATTCAATTGATGGGGAATCCGTGATTATGATTCTTGGATTGTTCGATTATGTGGGTTAATTTAAGATTAAGTGTGGATTCTTGAATTGAATTTGATTTGGAGTTTGAATCGGGGTTATGTTGCTTGCTGTTCTTCTTTCTTCTGCGCTATCCCGTCCATCTATGCTCTGTTGTGTTCTTTTCTGTTCCTTTGGTTCCTCTACTCTGTCGCTGCTGTTCATGAGCCGCCGCCGAGGGGGTGTTGCCGCCGACTCTAAGAAGGAGTTGCTGGACTGCTATGGCGCGTTAGCGCCCTGCGTATGGATCCCTGCAGATTCTCTCGGGGTTTCTGCCTTGGGAGGCCGCTGCCTCCGCTGTTGGTCGTCTACTGCTGCTGCGCCGCTGCTCTGTCCGTCCCTTCACCTTTGAGTTCGCCGGTGTTGGGGCAGGTTGGTCGCCGCTGGGAGAGCTCCTGCGCGAAGGAAGAAGACAGTTGGGGACTGCCTTGTAGTGGACTGATGGAATTAGGAATGGGTTTTCCTAAAAATTGAGATTTGGGCCTATTTGTTTCCAATTCTTTGTTTGGGTCACTTTTAGTTAATAAAATACACCACTAATTTAGGATTTAAGATTTAGGCCTGGTGGGGCGAGTTTCGCATAACTCACGGGTCTTGGGTTAATACGTATGGGAGTCATTAGCCTACCTAGGGATTCCTTTGTAGGGGATCCAACCCGCCTATTGAGGATTCTCTTTGGGTTTCATCAAGCGTGGCCTCGGGGGATCCGTCCGAGTGTCCATGACTTAGTTAGTCAAAAGGAAACCTTAGCCTATAGGGTTAAGTGTAGTAGGACATCAAGAATTGGATATAATAAGTAAATAGTTGAACATGGTATTCAATAATGATATTTGCTAATTTCTCTGATATTGTGTGATTATATATTGATGGGTGCTAGTTTATGAGTTAGTTCTAGGCTTCTAGCGTTAGATACTTCCACTCTCCCTATATTTTTACAGGTAGAGAACAAGGACTGAATGAGGGGCAGCCTGGAGGACAGTGACGCGTGACGCTGGTGGATGACCGAAGCTGTTTTATTTAAATTAAGAAAAATGCTAGGGGCACACCAAAGGTGTACCCCGTATGTCCCCCACCCCCTCCTTGTCCACTAAAAAAGGCAAAAAAATTTTAAAAAAATAAGTAAATAAAAATCAAATAAAAATGTGTGGTGGAGAAGGGTGTGGTGTACATTTGGGGTACACCTTTTGGTGTACCCCTAGCATTGCTCTTAAATTAAATAAGTATGTTGGATTTGTTTATTTAAATTACCAGAGTGTTGAATGCTGTTTTTTTAAAGGCTTCCGCAACGTTTTAGTTATTTACTCCGACTAAACGATTTATTGGTTTCAATAAATATGGATGTTTGTTTATTTCTAAATGTTTTTAAAAATATTATACATGTGAATACCAAATTAGTGACACCCGATTCGCTAACTCGTTGTTTCGGGTTACGTGGGTCGGGGTGTTACACCTTCCTCATTTTTCTTGTTGGAAATAATCTTCATGAGTGACTCTTTAGACATGCCGGATGACGAAGGTCAATGATGGGGCGAACAACAGCAGCGATCAAGGCAAACTGCCATCGAGACGGTCGACCCACTCGACCCTTCTTCAACAACGGTCGACCGTTCCGGTGGTATGACAGCAACAACAAGCGACGATTGATGGACGCGATGCCGGTTGATTGTGAACAGTGCCGCAGAAATCCTCTAGGGTTTTGGCTCTGATACCATGAAAGAATTATATGGGAGGAAATTCTCTTATGGTATGTTTGGGAACATGGATTTGGATTTCAAATCCGGATTTGACTCAAATTTCATGTTTGGGATACTTAAAAATTTTGAATTTGGATTTGAGTCAAATTCTTCTCATACATAACAAAGCTTAATTTGAAATCCATGCACTTCCCATTGTCATTTGAAATTCAAGATTTCAAATTTTGGAATTGAAATGCATGAATTCAAATGAAATGCTAGTTACCAAACACTACCTTAAATTTCTCTCTTGTGTTTACATTTACAATGAAGACATATATATAGAATCTCACAAGTTGAGACTCCTAATTCGTAAAGGAAAAGGAAAAGGAAAAAATCTCTATATAAGTAAAACTATCAAAATAATATATATACAAATATATCCAAATATTCTTCAAATATTCTTTTTCCTTTAACAGATATGTTTCGCATATCAACATATCATTTAAACGTCAAATATAAGTGATCTAATAAGTTTTCTGGATTTCTACAAATCTATAATCTCGTCCCCAAATAAATGCATGTTAAAGATCGATTATTCTTTCCCGCATTATTAAAACCTAAATGTTGGATGAGCGATCTTTTTACTCTATAATTACAATTTTTAATTCAAAAAGTTAATACTACCTCCGTCCCTCTGTATTTGTCCACTTTCATTTTTGCACACCATCCAATGCACTTTTTTAATCCATTTTATCTTGTAATTTGTATATTAAAAAATTATATATTAATAATCTATATGTTAAGACAAATCAAACAAGATCACACATGACTATATGTAGGCTTACACATTGAGAGAATTTGATGAGTCAAAGTGCTTAGATGAACAGTTCTAAAAGTTAAATGTGGACAAATACAGGGGGACGGAGGGGGTATTTAATTAATTTTCTTCCTGCATTAATTAAAAAAACACTAATATAAAAAGAAATATTAGCGCTCTAAAGATTAATATGGAGTAAATGAGTAAAATGAGATTAAAAAGTTTGTGCTATAGCCTATAGTTCTGTCCCTCCGTCTTCGATCTCACGATGGTTACTTTGCCCTCACGGAAAACGGAGTGTGGGAAATGCAAGTAGAAAAAGCGAGTCTTTTAGATTTCCATTTCACAATTAAGAACGTGTTTAGCTATTGTGCTTAATAACGTCTCTTACCTGACTCCAATGTTTGAATTTCGAAATTTGGTATAGACACTAGGCCGTAAGGTAAAACTTTAAGGTTGCTTCAATTTTTTTTGAAAGGTGAAACCCAACCTCTCAGCTTAAACTTTTGGGTTAGAACAGTGGATTACAACTTTATGTGAAAGTGATTAATTTTACCTGACACTTTACCCGTTCTCGGGCCGCTGGTATCGGAGCAGGTCTGGGTTTGATCCTTCTTGGTTGTTGGACGTGGGTTTAGTAAAAAAAAAGAGCTACCTGTCCATGGTTTAGGTTAAGCTGACTAATAAGAGATTGAGATGCCACTACCCATTGTGTGAGCTAGTTATAAGAGATTGAGATGCTAGACGAGGCTAGTTATCATTGAGGAGGGAATGTTGGAGTTCTCACATCGCAAAATAAAGAAGAATATCACTCGCATATATAATCTTTTGGGTTAGAATAGTAGATCCCGACTTCATATACACATGGTTAATTTTATCCGACAGTTTTCGACCTACCGAAATTTTAACAGGATGTAACCCAGTACCCCGGGGACTATATATATAAATGGGTCATTTCCTGGATCAGAAAAGAAATTATTCCATCTCAATAGCAACGTAACCCATCCCATAGACAATGTTTAAGTTGGATTTAATGCCAACGTCGGCGGCACGGTACGATGAAAGCCGCGAAACAGCATGGGATGAAGGGGGACGTCGAGGCCAAGTTGCCGGAATACTCATTTCTTATTCTTGTTCATGTAACACCCTAATCCGTCCAGGTTTACAACCCTTTCCGAACTAAAGTATTAACTTGGTAATCGTATAATTTAAAACATTTCAAATAACTTTATTCATCATAAATAAAATTTCAAACATAATTGTAGTAAATACGGAGTGTTTAATGCGGAAGCGATTTTTAAACATGATTCATAATAACATAATCATTTATTTTCTCAATAAATCCACCACGACTATCTCGCCCCTTCCGCTGCCAAGAACATGCCATTCACTCATTCTGTCTACCTGCGTGTAGCAAATAAAACATACTACACGCTCAGCGATGAAGCTGAGTAAGCATATCTAAAGCGTCGAACATCCAAATAAATTGAATCTCAATTCATAATCAACCATTTGATATCATGCACACAGTATATGATTCAAACATTCATGATATTCTCAATATTT